CATTTTTTACAAAATATAAAAGTATTTTACATTTAAAAAAATTATTAAATCTGTTTTTACTGTTTGTCTTAATAGAAGACAGCTGTGTTCTCATATCTGCTTCTGCATTCAATCTGTTGTGATCAGTTGTTTTGGGTGAGGTATATGAAGAAAATCCAACCTCACACAGATATGTAGTTGGAAAAGGAAGAGCAATAGTTTAATCACCTTTTCAGATAATTATGGATATTTTTCTTTGATACTACATCAGAACTAAAAAGTGGTAGTTTCTTAAAGGTTAGTTACATTATGAAATCTGAAGTTATATCACTGAATTTTTTGTAGTTTTAGTAAATTCATTGTCTATTTTGCAGTTTGAATAGATCTTTTACAAAACCTTGCCTGATTTTGTAACAGTAATGGAACAGCTGGAAAGTATTTGTTTATTGAATTATACAGATCTTTTCAATGTTCATACTTCACAACACATAAAAAAATCACTGTGTTAATATCACCAATTTTATCAGAAAAATCTTTAATTATTGGGAAGCTGTCAAGCTCACAGTGATAGAAGTTTAGTAAAAGTCTAATTTTCACTTGATAGCATCAGTTTTATCATTGACAAGTACTCGTATGTTGTTTGTTTTCTTGGACATGGTAGTCTTCAATTTTGAGAAAATTTCTGCTAAGTCCCTAAATTGTAATAACCGTAATTTATCTACAGTTATTTTTTGAAGTAAAAATTGTGTTCCGCGAAAAAAGTGTCTAGTTCAGCTCACAACTCAAAATCACAGAAGTGCTTTCCCCTGAGACATACTTCTGCATTTAGCAGAAGTACTTTATGCATTTATTACCACAGATTGAATGCATTTTTGTCATATAGAATATTAAAAAGATATATACTCATGGGTCAAGATTTAATGAAATTGATACCAGCCTTTGTTTTTTTAAAACCTAGTGTGAGTGTAGGTGAAAAATAAGACTACTTGTATAGGTTGATTTCACTATCTTGATGGTTGGTCTAATGTGCTAATGGTTTTACCTACCCTCACTTTTGCACCAAAAGTGCAAGTGTCAACACAGTGAAAAAGGCAAATAATTTCCTTGAATTATTATGAAAATAGTTTTAATTTTGTGGACTGCTTCAGAGAGTCTTAAGAAATACCAAGAATCCACAGTTTGCACTTTAAGAACTACTAAGATAGACCTTAGGAGAGTGATTTGACTTAAATTGTGGGAAAGGTATTGGGGAAGGCATCTCTGAGGAAATGGCTTTTAAGCCAAGCTTGCCAAGCAGAGGGAACAGTAGTATTTGTGAAAATTTTGAAGTAGGTAAATTTGCTGGTGTTATCAAGGAGTTGCAAGAAGATTAGTGTACATAAAGTGTTATGATAAAGGAGGCAAGAGACACAAGAAGACACCAGTTCATTTGGAACTTTAGAACACATTTTAAGGATTTTGGATTTTATCCTGTGATCATGAAAAGCCATGAAAAGCTTTAAGTAAGGGAAGTGATCTGATCTGATTTATTATTTTTCTTTATTGATTGATTGTATGATCTGATTTTTGTTTCTAAAAAATCACTCTGGCTGTTTAAGGAATTTAAAAAATGATACATTTAGGGCCGGCCCGGTGGCGCACTGGAGAGTGCGCTGCTTGGGAGTGCGGTGGCGCTCCCGCCGAGGGTTCAGATCCCATGTGGAGACCGGTTCCCGCTCACTGGCTGAGCGCGGTGCGGACGCGACACCGAGGGTTGCGATCCCGTTACCGGTCAGTAAAAAAGACAAAAACAAAAATGATACATTTAGTTAAATTCTTTTCCATATTGATAGTTGTCAAGTCTTTTTCTGACTGTTGCTAAAACTCTAATTAAAAAAACCAGAATTCAGGATGTACGTGATTTTGATTCGTATTTTTCAGAAAGCCTTGCAGGACAGAAAAAGACAGCAAAAAGGAATCTTTTTTGGGGTGATGTGACATTTTATTATTTAGTTAAAATATCCACTTCTAGTGAAGCAACTTTAAAAAATTACTTGTGTATTTGGAATAAGTAATTATTATTTGGAATAAGTAATTGAATAAATATTTATGAGGGTAGACATTCAGACAGCTTATATTGGGTGTACAGACAACTGTCATCATCAGAGTAAGTTAACTCCACAAATGTGAATTCTCTGGAACTATTATATATAAACTACATTTATTTCTAAGAGAATGCCTACTGATTTTTCACTCCATTTTTTTATATTAAAGTTTTTTTTTTTAATCTGTGTAGCAACAGGTGTAATATGGTAATATTGAAAAGTTACTCCTTTTAAAGACAAAGCACTTTGCAATTAATCAAAGGGGGGGAAAGTGGCATTGTTTCCAGTACCTATATTATTAATTTCTCTCCGAAATAGTCCTAAAGCTTTGGTGTTTATTGATCTAGTTTTCTAGCAAATAAAGAAAATTTGTGAACTTTAATGTACACTGTTAATTTTTTTTGGTTAGCATTTAGCTAACAAAGAGACCCATTTTGAGATTACTACAGGTTTAATATGCCCCTTTCCCCTTTTCTGTTCAATGATTTCTAGCTTTTGTTTTGTATTTGGGTACATCACTTTTAACGGTTTTATATTAATGGGACCTAAACCTCTTTTTTTCTCATTATCTCTCCTCATCAGATGTGGAACTTCACTATGTTGACTATGGGTAAATTTCTACCAAATTAGAAAGAATCTGTTGGGTACACAGTTGGTTAATTCAGATTGTTGGTGGCTCTTTTCCCTTCATCTAGGTTAGGTCTGACAAAAAGGCAAGTAAGTAAAGTAGCCAGGTATCAGAGGAGGCAATCAGGCTTCCAGCAGGCCTTGGATGTTATTTTTGGAGCAGTGCTCATCTTTTGGCCACTTTTAGAACCTTGTTACACTTATGAAATTTATCTGTGCCTTGAGCTTAGATTGATAACCTAAAAATCATTTCATGTTTTAACTATATGTTCTAGATTTTCCAGGAGTGTTCTGATTTTAAATATTCCATCCCTTTGTCTTTTCATAGAAATACATTTATTCCTCAGTCAGAAGGATGCCCCTTCTGATACTTGATTCTTGGTTCATATAATAACTGCTAGGCGAGTCACCAAAACATTCCCGAGTTACCATTATATATGCCACATTAGACTCTTAATTGTAAAAATTGCCATGATATTTATGTGCTGTTAAGAGAGGAGAACAGAGTGGTATCTTTTTGCTTGTTTTGGAATCTATAGATTTGATCTTTTTTTTCTGAAATGGTTATTGAGTTGATGATAGAGGTGATTTCAGGGAGTGAGGATTAGCAGTTGTAATAACATATTGGAGGGAGAAGGATAGAAAGAGTTATGGTTTCTGACCAGAAATGGCCTGTGGATGAAGCCTTATATGATTGCTATGTGTGACATCTTGAGGTGGTTTTGGGATTCTAAACTGAGAATCCCCCATCCACAACTCTTATAATTCCCCCCCCCCCAATGTATGAAGTAACATATATCGGACAATAGATTAATTTTCGTAGGTGTAATGGAATTTTATCAAAATAAATATTGTTAAAGCACACATTCCTTGGCTGCAAGTTTTTGATGTGAATGAATTAGATCATCTCAGTCTTTGTCCACTAATTGAGCAACTTAATTGAGTACTCAGCTAGTTAAATACTCAACTAATTGAGTACTTAATTTTCTAGGTACACAGCCTCTTATGTATTCCTTTCTTTCTCATAGTTTTGGTTTTCGGTTCTCTATGTTTTATTGTTGGTGTGTGTTAGGGAAGTTTGGTTCATATGAATCTTAGAGAACAGATAAAATGGATAGTTTTGGAATTTAGATTGTAGGGCTGTTTGGATGTTTGAGATAAAATGAGGGGAAGTTAATTTTACCTTGATGTCGAGATAAAAGAGATTATAAAGATTTAAGCTACATTTTAGCTCAGTTCTTTTCTTTAGACTACAGTGAAAATAACACATAATCAAGTTTGTTTTTGAGAATGACTTCTACTTGAATGGGAATAAAGAAAGCTTATTACATAGAATTCTGCTCAAAAAGATGCCATTTTTCTCTGCCGTGAAAGAAATGTAGAATGCTTTGTAATGATATTTTGTATGGATATTTTGTATTTTATACTATTATGTATTTTTATTAAAGTTGTGGGGATCTTAAACAGTGATTTCATTTTATTTTAATTTAATTTAATTTTATTTTATTTTGGTGGCTGGCCAGTATGGGGATCTGAACCCATGACCTTGGTGTTGTAAGGCTGTACTCGAACCAATAGAGCTAAACAGCCAGCCGAAGATGATTTTAGAATGTGTTAGAATTTGAGATTTTAATCACCAAAATGTTTAAAATTCAATGAATAAAATACAGCTATCAAAAACCTTCCGTATTCTAGCTGTTGTGAATACAGAAATGATTTTATGCATAGCAGATTGGTTTACTGTAAAAATTGGTAGCTGGTATTTCCAGGTATTGAAATGATTCTTTTAAAGGCCTTCTAACATAAAGACAGTTGAACTTAATTAACTGAGGAGCAAATCATCAGTGTTGCATAACAAAATACCATGAACTAGGTGGCTTAAACCACAGAAATTTATTTTCTCACAGTTGGAAGCTGGAAGTCCAATATCAAGGTGCTGGCAGGGTTGGTTCTCCTGAGGTCTTGCTCCTTGGCATGTAGATAACCATCCTCTTGCTGTCCAGGAATGCTCCTGGTGTCTCTTCTTATAAGGACACCAGTCACATTGGATTAGGGTGTCACCCTAATGGCCTCATTTTAACTTAATCACATCTTTAAAGACCTTATATTCAATACAGTCTCAGGTACTGGGGGTTGGAACTTCGACATATGAATTTGGGGAAACACAGTTCAGCCCTTAACAGTAGGTAATGAAATCAATCTAGAAAGACAATAAATAACTTTTTAGAATTACTTATTTTGTTTTCTTTTATTTAATATGGTTTGTGTAGAAGTGCAATTGTTCTGTGTTTTTTGTTTCATGTCTCCTAGCCGGAGAATTTTCATCCTCGGGCCTTCTCATCATGTGCCCCTCTCTCGATGTGCACTTTCCAGTGTGGATATATATAGGACACCTCTGTATGACCTTCGTATTGACCAAAAGAGTAAGTATATGGAAATCTTATAGCTTTTAACTAACTGAAGTTCTTTTAATAGGAATTTAATAGTAAGATAATTTTAAAATAAGAATATCATAAGTAATATTTCAGTTTTTAAAACAAAATTTGTTGTAACTAATCTGTGTAAAACAAAAACAGAGAAAATCTTTCAAATCTACAAAAGACAACTAGTGTTTTGCTCCTATCTACAGAAATCTGTCAGATCCACTAGTCTGCAGACTGTAGTGGTTAAATTTATATTCAGGGAAGTACCATGTACTCATTGTACCACGAGACAAGAAATTAGTACCCACACCAATTGATGAAAGATTCTGTTCATGTTTGTCTATCTCTGTGTATATCACTTTTCTCACTGTAACTAGGTAATGGTGATAATACCTTTATTTCATCTTGGATGATTTTTATGGACTAAAACAAGACTAGTTGTGAAACTCTGAAAGAAAGGTACTGTATAAATCTTAAATATATTTTATTTTTAAATACATGTTATTATTTTAATTTAGTTTTTCTTCCAGAGTTTCATAAGTCATATTATTATTGAGTTGTTTTTTATACAATAGATGTGTAAAGGAAAACCCTTTGACTTTTATAAGGGTAGTTTTGGGTGAGTGGGGGAGAATAATTTAAAAAATAGAGAACTGTATAGAGAATAGTATAAAAAATATTGGTGTACTCATTATCCACAATTTACTCAGAGTTTTCCCCTCATTCAGAACTCAATTTATCTTCCCAAGAAGTAGGTGAACTTGGTGTGTATCTTTCCAGTTCATCAAATTATAGTTTAAGGGGCCGGCCCCGTGGCGCACTGCTACAGTGCGCCGCTTGGGAGCACGGTAGCGCTCCTGCTGAGGGTTCGGATCCCACATGCAGACCGGCCGCTCACTGGCTGAGTGAGGTGCGGGCGCAGCACCGAGGGTTGCGATCCCGTTACTGGTCCCGGTCCGGTACGGGCGCGACACTGAGGGTTGCGATCCGTTGCCGGTCACGAAAAAAAGAAAAAAAAAAAATATATATATATATATATATATATATATATAGTTTAAGTATGTTAGGGATACTATTGTTTCAAGAAATTTTTGCCACAGTTTCTTCTGTAGAACGAAATAATCTACTTGCAAAAGAAATGATTAACTCTTTTTCCTTATCTTAGGCCAAATTTTCATGATTTGGGTTTTAAGTATTATAGAGCATTAGCAAGTTGTTGTTAGAGTACATCTTATTAATGAAGCATGAAGTATTACTAACGTTAGTCCCTGAGATGGTTTTAGGGAACCACTTTGCTTTTAAAAACTTGTTGGAGCATTCACAAAGTTGAGGAAAAAAAAAAAAAAAAAAAAAAAAAAAAAAAAATATATATATATATATATAGTTTAAGTATGTTAGGGATACTATTGTTTCAAGAAATTTTTGCCACAGTTTCTTCTGTAGAACGAAATAATCTACTTGCAAAAGAAATGATTAACTCTTTTTCCTTATCTTAGGCCAAATTTTCATGATTTGGGTTTTAAGTATTATAGAGCATTAGCAAGTTGTTGTTAGAGTACATCTTATTAATGAAGCATGAAGTATTACTAACGTTAGTCCCTGAGATGGTTTTAGGGAACCACTTTGCTTTTAAAAACTTGTTGGAGCATTCACAAAGTTGAGGTTTTGGATAGCCTGTCAGTGAAGAAATGGAGAATTCTTAACTACGTATAATTTTATAGAAGAGAGGTTATACCACTGTTTGTTTCTTTGATATTGGTAAACCCATTTAAAGATCTGCTTATAAAAATGTTGATTTTGTTCTATGATAAAACAAAAATATTCGTTTCTTTTTTTTTTAACATATTTTATCTTTTTCTTGTTCTACAATATCTACTTTTAAGTATAACTCATCAGAAGGGTCTGAATTACTAGGTCATTTTAAGTTGGCATGGTACTGTGGTGAATTTATGTTCTGATCTATACCACAAACTTAATTTTGAATTTTGTGGAAAATAGCATTCTTAGTGGGAATTTTCTGTTCTTGATATGGCAGAAACCTGAGGTCTGAAATGGTAATGCCACACATTTTATTAAAAAACAAAACAAAACTCAGAAACTATGTTATTAACCTCATGAGTAAATAGACCTGTGGTTTTTCCATATTTCAGTAGGAATTGTATTCTTGCTAGTATCATGTACTGATTAAAGTCAAGGAAAAGCCCAGACCCATAGGTGGTTTTAGAAATAATGAATGGAACTGATGAAAAACTTAAATTATTTTTTATATAACTATGTAACATATGCAAATGATGAATAAGTCTTTAGATGTACAGTATTATTATTTTACTTGGTACGTAAGAAACTAGTTGTTTTCCTTTTTCTTCTTTTTTTAAAAATAAAAATGAAAGAGAATACTATGTGGTGCTTCTGTCTCTTGCCAAAGCATTTGTTACTGGGTGGAATCTTACAGGATAAGGATATACATTAATATATTTGTTTTAATATATTTTGAAATCTCTTTAGTTTATGGAGAACTGTGGAAGACAGGAATGTTTGAACGTATGTCTCTGCAGACAGATGAAGATGAACACAGTATTGAAATGCATTTGCCTTATACAGCTAAAGCCATGGAAAGGTACATTGATTGATATAAGAAATGCTAGAGAAATCATAGACATTAATTTCTTTGGAATTATTTTAAAATAATTATTAGGGTAAGAGATTAAAAAAATTTTTTTGTTATTTGAAATAAAAATTTGAGATTGGAGTGTCTTAATGTGGATTGAAGCCGGTTTTGAAGGCTGACCATGAATTGATGAGATTGTTTTATTATGTAGAAATATAAAAAAAAAACACCCACGTGTGTGTATATGTGTATTTTGTTTGTCTGATTATTTATTTGGCATTTCTTTATCTCAGAATAATAATTATATTTTTTAATGGTACAGTGCTATAATTAATCATAAAAAATTTTAGATTTGGAAGTAACTTTGGAGGTCATTTACTTCATCTTATACAAAGTACATGAATCTCTTTTATAATATGCTTGACAGATTATTTGTTACGTGCTAAAGGTCTTCTAGTGATGGGGTGCTCACTAGACTATCAGCAGAATGAGGACAGGGACAATATCTATTTTGCTCTTATACCCCAATGCCTTGCATAATGTCCAACACATAGTAATACTTAATTTATTTTGGTAAAATGAAAAAAATTGTAGTAAGTATTTTGTTTCTTCTTTTAGGGCAGCATTTGATTTAGAAAGTCTTCTCTTGTAGGTCACAATTCTCTAATTTTTTCAACCATTTTCTTTATATGGACTTAATATTCTATATACTGTTTGATTATTCTAAATATGGTAAGATTACTCCTTCCCTGGGTCTGCTCATAGTATTCTCTTAGTAAAGTACATGCTGCATTGTAGGTTCTCAGTAAATATTTGTTAATTAAATCTATTAATCAAGTCCTAGATTACATTAACATATTTTATGCTGATACCGGTGTTTAGCTAAAACCCAAGGCTTGCTCATGCTATCAAAATGGATTATTTTCTCAGACTTTTGTGTGGCTGATTTCTTTTTAATTCTAAATGTGTATGTCTTTGCAGTTATTTCTATTTAATTTTTTCTTGTTGGTTTTAGTTTATAATTAGTCTTTTTGGATCATTTTCACTCTTAATTCTGTGTTCAAAGTATTATTTACTTTTCTCAGTTTTTTTTTATCCATGTTTCTTCACAGTGATAACCATGAGGGATTACATAAAACTGAAAAAGTTTCCAAAAGTCAGTGTGATATTAAATTATAAGCAAGATAATTTTAGGTTAACTGTCTTTTAATACATTCTAATTCTTCAGATATTTTGAAAACATATATATTGTTTATTTCTTGGATTGTTGGTATAATCAGAACTTCTCATTCTTCAGTCACAAAAGATAGTAGAACATTTTTGTTATTTGCTGAAATGTTTGCATATTTTATCATGAAAAAATATAATTTAGACTTAATAAATTTTAATATAATAGAACCAATAAGCTGACATCAATATCCCTAAGGAGATTTTAACAAAATAACATTTTTGTTATTTCAAAAGTAAAACATGTATGCTGTGGAAAATTTAGGAAAATAGAAACTTAAAACCAACGAACAAAAGTCCTAGTCATAATTTCCCCCCTTTTAAATGGTGTTAAATAAACACTCCCTCCTTATGTACATCGGGATCCCTAATACTGACTCTTAGATAGTACTTAATACTTTTCCTTTGTAGCATTTATTGCACTCACTACATGTAACATTTATTATTGAGTAACAAATTCCTCCAGAATTTAGTGGCTTAAAATCACAACTGTTTTATCATTTACTATTTTTGGTTCAGGAATTGGGGCGGGGAACACTTTGCTCTGATCCACAAGATATTGACTGAGGTGGCACACATGGGGCTAGAGGATCCAAGATGACCTCACTCATATGTCTCAGGCCTTAGTGCTGGCTTTCATTTGAGATCCCTCATTTGTTTTCCAAGTGGCCTGTTTGTTCATCAGCCAGGGCTTCTCTCTCGACCACTTTCTAGGAGGATAGCCTCAACTTCTTTACTTGGTGATTCAGGGTAGCAAGAGAGCAAAAAACAGAAATTTCAAGGCCTAATAAGGCCTGGGCCCAATACTACACAGCACCATTTCCACTGAATTCTGTCTTCAAAGCAAATAAAATCACTATGTCAGCTAAGATTTAAGGGAAGATGAGATTCCTCCTCTTGGTTGGAGGAGTAGCATCTGTGTACAAGAATAGGAGAAATTGTTGGCAACCATCTTTGCAGATGGCCTACCGCAGTTCTTCCTCTTGTGGATAATTTATGTCTTTCTTTCATGTAATACACACCAAAGCCCTCCCAGGATGCCCAGAAATCTCATTCAGTTATGACCATGGGCTCAAAATCCATTATTTTATGATCTGCATCAAGTTAAGATGTAAATGAGGCTCCTTAGGTGTGGCTTTTCTGATTTGGAGATGTAGGAACTGAAAAATCACCCCCCCCACCCATACACTTAATATACAATTTTGAGACAAGCATAGTTAACCACAGTTGACACTCCCATTGGAGAGTGAAAGAATGGGAAGCATCATGTAGCAGTCTCTGGTCCAAAGCAATTCTGAACTCTAACGAGGGAACGGAGAATGTTCTATTTTCTATTTTCTGGTAGTGGTTTCGTAGTTTATTGTTTTTCTCATCTTTTGGCTGGGTCCCTTGGTCTGTTGGCTCCACTCTCTGAGTCATTTTTGCTTTTCTTTAGGGAATGGGGCTTGTTTGCACCTGAGTAGCAGTCTTAGTCTGCTTCATGTATGTGCCAATGTGAAACCCTAGAGGCTTCTTTCATTTGGAACAGTGTTTCTTTTAGTTCAAACTGATAGAACTCCTTTAACACTTTGTGGGTTTTCTGTATATCAGATTATAAGTGCATTCCATTAGACAAAAGTCACATCCACAATTCTTTCTGAGTCAGGACTCCCTCTATTTTGGACCCCAAGTTAGCATCCTGTACATTTCTTAGAAGCCCTTTTGCCTACGTGAGAGGGTGTGCAAGCACTGCCTTAAATCTTTCTGAGGTTTTAATAAAGGATCTTATGGATACATTATTAATTTGATGATTGTAAGGCCATGGTTTACTGGCAGTGCTCTGGATTTGATCTCTGTTTTAATGCCATTTCTTTGACAGTCTTTTGCTATCTGAAGAGGCCAGTGATCAGAAATTGTTATTTTTTCCAACCCTGCAATTCCTGGTTAGATTTATTTCCTTTAAATTCTCCTTGCAAGCTAAACAGTTTGTTATTTAGTTTATGTTTTTCTTCTTGTACCTTTTCATACTCTGGCTATCAAAAAGACACTAACACTTTGAATATTCTGCCTGGAAATCTCCTTAGCCAGTTCATTAGGTAAAGTTACTTCATGTGACAGTTTTTGCTAGTTGTTCTGCCAGTAAATAATGCGGGTTATCTTTTTCCAACATTCTTACAGCAGTTTACTTACTGTACTTCTAGTTTCTACAGTCTCCTTCTAGCCCTTTTAGCTTCTGCCCACATCTGATTCCCAAAAGCCAATGTGACATGTTTTAGGTTTCTGTTACAGGAGCATCTCATTCCCAGGTACTGTTTTTTTTGTTTCAGTTATTTATGGCAGCATAACAAATCACCTCAACATGCCTGTTTTCCTGCTTATGATTAGAAATTCATGGATTAGAAATTTGGTCAGGGGTCAGTGGAGACAACTTGTCTCTGTTGCATCTGCTGCCAGTTAAAGCAGGTCTACTTAGGCTGATGGCTCCAAGATACCCTCACTTTCTCTCTGGGGCTGTGGTTCTGGTTGTCTCCTGAGGCACTTCAGTTCACATCTTCATTCTCGTCTATCTCTTTCTGTTGTCATTCATCTTTCAGAGCCTCTCTCTCCACATGTTCCCCTCTCCAGCAGGATAGCACTGGACTACTGTACATGGCAGTTCAGGGTATCAATTGAGCAAAGTAGAAACCTCCAGGTCTCTTAGTATCTAAGACCAGAACTGGTACAGCATCACTTATGCCACACTCTACTAGTCAAAGTAAGTTGCAAGGCTAAATCCAAGGAGAGGGAGAAATAGTCTTTATTTTTGATGGGAGGAGTGGCATTGAGCATTTAGAGGTGGGAGGAAATTTTGATGGTCATATTTGCAGGCACTGCAGTTAAATAGGTCTTCGAGTGATTACTTATTTATAAGTATGTCTCCCTTCCGTGGTAGTTGCCTAATCTGTTCTCTGTCTTGAGCTGCTAGTCTACATTACATCTTCTGTGCCTGGCACAGTACTTGTTACACAAAAGGATTTCAGTAATTGTTGAATGAATTAATAACTATCTTCCCATTTTCAATTTGAGGGGTCTTCAAAAAGCTCATGGAAGGATTCGTATTATCTTTTAATTCAGTTTTTCCATGAACTTTTTGAGGTGCCCTTGTACTTTAATTAAATATTTTTATGGAAATGGGATCAAATGCTCTCTTTTAAACTGCTTATCATATCCTGAATGTATTTCCATATCATTTTCTTACTACATTTTACAGACTTTATATAAGACTTTCTAGTACATACCTATATAATTATTTAATCAGTTCTTGAACATTTAACTTTTAAACTCCCTCCCATTTTTCACTATTATAAGCAATATGGAAATGGGATCAAATGCTCTCTTTTAAACTGCTTATCATATCCTGAATGTATTTCCATGTCATTTTCTTACTACATTTTACAGACTTTATATAAGACTTTCTAGTACATACCTATATATTTAATCAGTTCTTGAACATTTAACTTTTAAACTCCCTCCCATTTTTCACTATTATAAGCAATTGTTATGCTTTTTAAAAAAGTAACTATATAAGGTAGTATTTGTAATTCTCTGTATTATTTTATTTATTTATTTATTCTCTATTGAATCATAATTATACATATATTTGGGTTTCAACATTGAGGTATGTTGATCAAATCAATATTATTAGCATATATGTTATTACAAATTGTACTTATTCTTTATGCCCCTTATCCAATCTCTCCCCATCCCCCTCTCCCTCCCATCTCTGATAACCCTAGATTTCTTCTCTCCTTCTGAAAGAGTAA